GTGATGACCTGGATGGTGGGGGTTTGATTTTCCATGGCGGTCACGCGGGCAGAGATGGTGGAAACGGATGTTTTGATGTCGTCGATGGATTCCGATTTGGGTTTAAATTTATTCGAAATTAATTTTGGGGTATGATTAACGTGAAAATTTCGAAAAAAAAAAGAAAGGATTTAAGTAAATTCTAAAATATTCCCGAATTCGTATAGGGAATTTTAGAAATTAAAATATACGAGAAAAAGAATTTGCGAGGCTCAAGGCCTCTATAAGCCCTACTGGGCCCTGTTTTCAGCAATATCGGGCGCCCTAAGTGAAGGCAGGCCTGACAGGGGACGAGAGGCCTATTTTGGGATTTTCACGCAACTGGGAAATTCAGGCAGCTGCGCAGCGCCAGTTGGTTGAGAGAGCCCAGGCCCTGCCTGCCTTTTTCCAAATGTATCTGAGGCAGGCCCTGGGCTAGACACGGGCCATGGATTGCACACAGGCCGCTGGCAGTTGGACACAGGTAACCACCCCAGGCCCTGTGCCTGATTCTCTTGGACCGGGGCTCAGCCACTTGGGGCTTACCGGAAGCTTCTGGGCAGGGGCCCAGCACAGCCAGGCAGCACGCAGCGGGCAGGCCACTTCCATATAGGAAAGTGTCTGCCTCCGCATTTGGTATTCGGGCACTTGCTACATGCTGCGCAAGCGCTGCTGCGCTACTGGCAGGCAAGCGCCCACACGCTCACGGGCGAGCAGGTTACACGCAGGCAGCCATAGCCAAGCTGGCCTGCGAGGTGCTGGATGGGGTGCATGGTGGTCCTTGGGTGCACGTGGCATCTGTGTGGGGGATCGAGGTTGTGAGTGAGGCATGAGACATACCTGGTGCTCGAAGCGAACGGCATTGGCCGAGATCTGCTCGTACTTCGGGGACCGGTTGACGTCATCAGCGGCATTATAGATAGGCTAGATAGGATCTGCCATTCGTAGTCCGGGCACCGAGCGCCAGATAGGGAATCAACATTGGTTCATTGTTGATGATGATGAAATTATTCCAACATTGTCACTTGTGAGCTTTTGCTGTGCTCTTATTTGGTGGAACTCGAGTTGCAGTTCTGCTTTTGGTTCAAGGTCACGACTATCTGGTTTCATGTGTATGATGCTGCTTGGTTTCTGGAATTCGCTATCGCTCATTTTCCTTGCATTTTGGTATCGGAGCTGTGGTACGTTGCGCTAATCTGGCGCTTGTCTTCTGCCTATGCGGTACATGCATGCGGTCTGCTGGGTGAGCGGCCGTAGGAAGTGTGTAGTGAGCAGGGCGAAGACAAGCAGGCAACCCAGGCAGAGAGGGGTATCGCCAGGAAGGCTACGAGGTGATTTTGGGTGTTTCGCAGTGTGATGAGAACTATCTGGTGAGCGGTTGATGCTGAGGTGGAACGGCAGTGTAATGCTGGTTGTGCCGAAGCAGTGATTGGTCATCACAATCGACGTCAGGTCATCTGGCGAGAATATCTGTGGGCCATAGGAAATTATGAAACCCCTACTTTTTTTTTTTTTTTGGACCTTAATTTTTCCAGTGTGGTGCGCAGCGCGTGCGCAAATCCGCGCACCGAGGTGTGCTGCAACTATGGTGAAAACATTTGCAGTCCTGTAAGCATAGCATTGGTTGATGTTACCCGCGCGCTCACTTTGCCATTAGGTCTTTCTTTTTTTTTTTTTTTTTTTAAAGCCTTAAAGGCTTAAACTCTTTTCTGCAGGCTGAGTCATTGATTGGTCTTTTTTTTTTTTGGTGTACAAAAACTACGATAGTTACAAACTTACAAACACCTTGTGGAATCTGATTTCTTTTTTAAAGAATCTTTCCCATCTTTTGCAATATCTATTATGATATTATCCAAGTTATAATCCAGGCCAATTTGGCATGCGCTTTACCTGCTCGATCACAAAATCCAGATCTACTCAGGATGTTTTCACTTTTGGACCTTTTGGTACTTTTTACTATTTGAGTATTTAGTATTTCATCGAATACCCCAGAAAAAACTCTCAGGTGCTTCCATTGTCTTGTAATTTTGTTTTTCTGAACTTTTTCCAAGACTGATGAGTGTAGACAATAATGTTAAAAACTTTATCGTCAAGCGCTGATCTTCCCCTCGGTAATGCATTTTCAAATTAATACAAACAAGTGCCTACCCAGTAATGCTGCAATCAGACTCGCTTTTTTTTCCACTTCGCACTCATGCAAACAGATGGTGAATCACACTGGCGCACAGCGCCCACTCAAAGCTTAAAGATATGGAAGTCGAAAACACAGTTCAGGTACAAACTCGCTTCAACAGGCTATGGCGCATCAGCGCCTGTACATCCCAACTCTCGTCTCACTGTCCAACACCACTGTTCGCACGTACTCAGTCTGGATCACCCTGGATATCCCACACTCATACACACGCTCTCGTACTCACACACTCGCCTATCAGCTATGGCGGCTATGGCCGCTATCCCTCTATGGCTATGGCTAACTATCTCCTTCAGCCCACTTCGTCTTCGCGCGCTCTGCAGACCACCTCGCACAAGTCGCTATGGCAGTGCTTCCGCATGGCTTACGCAGGAATGAATGAATGGCTGGGCGCTGCCTCTTGATTTATACTTCTGTAATTCGCTGGTCTGCCCTTTTCCATCGGCTCTGGGTGCACACAGTCCCTCATGGTACTTGCTTGACTGGACTGTGACTGACTGGACCGGTACCGGTGACTGCATGGGTTTGCATTGCCAACTCGATGCAGTCGCACTACCGACGTAACGCAGTTGGGCTCACCACTTGCCCACTTGCCTCTGTCCAAACGTGAGACAACTTCGAAAGGCCACTTCCAGACCTTCCGGAAGTCTGTGGGCTTGGCCTTTCGAACACTGTAGCAGCTACGACCTTGGCCTTTCAGGACAGTAGCAGCTATGACCGTGACCTCTAAGAACACCTACAGCTTCGACTTCTACCCCCTATTCGACAGACCTACAGATCAAACCTCTACAACGAGACAGCCCTACGACAGACAACCGACTCCTAAGACACAGGTTACGGGTTCAAAAACACAGGGGATACTGTACACAGGTGAGCGGAGTCTAGGGATCGAGCCCTGGGATCTGCATCCGCTACTGCAAAGGTGAAAACCGTTTCAAAATTCAAATGCATTTCCCTCAGTGGGAATCATCACCATGTAGGGTCCTCGCAGCGTTCAGGTCAATTTTGGACATGCCCCTGAGCACTCTAGCATGAATGCTTGATGCAGGGGGATTCCTACTGGCCTCCCCCCCCAACCCTCCCCCGCCCCCTCCCCCTCCTCTGCCGTCTGCCTCCTGCTCGTCGGGGTTGTTTCAATTAATGGGTTTTGAAGTTTTGATTCTTTTGAAGTTTGAACCCTTGACTTCCTGATCAACACCATGCGAAGGCTTGTGCCATTCATCCAGTAGCAATGTAGGGAGAGCACAGTGAAGTGGATGTGGTCTGGATCTAAGGATATAGATTGGTTAAAAAATAAAATATTTTGGATAGATGGGTAGAGCACAGGATTAGATTGGATGATTAGATTGGATAAGATTGGACTGAGATTGGATTTGATTGCATTAGATTGGAGATTAGATTGGAGATTAGATTGGAGATTAGATTGGATTAGATTGGACTAGATTGGGTGATTAGATTGGATGTAGAGTACATTAGATTAGATTGGACGTAGAGTACATTAGATTGGACTTAGCTTGGACGTAGATTGGATTAAATTGGATTTAGATTGGATTAGATTGGATTTGATTGAGTAGATTGGATTTGATTCGATTAGATTCGATTTGATCGGATTAGATTGGATTAGATTGTGGTTAAATCGCTTTAAGATCGGATTCGATTGGATTAGACTGGATTAGATTGTGATTAAATCGCTTTAAGACTGGATTAGATTGGAATATTGATCCAACGAGCCTAACTCGTTTGGAACACCAATGAACTGTTGAAGTACAGACCTGAGTTCAAATCCTGATGGACCTAGATGAATGGAATTGAATTGTCACCTAGGGCTTAGTCAGATCGCCACGGCCGGTCTGTCACTCTTTGAAAAAAAAAAAAAAAAAAAAAAGTATTCAATAATGAAGATCGAAAGAAATTCGAAAAGGGGCGATAGAGCTTTCTGTATCTGTGCCAACTTCTCTATTTACTCTGATGGCATTCTTTTTTCTTTTTTCTTTTTTTTCTTTTGTGCTGTTCGGCGGGTCTCGTCACAGGCGGCGATGAAGCGGGCGCTGTTCATTTTCGCAAAGCTGAATCCAGGGGTTCGATACGTACAAGGAATGAATGAGGTGCTTGCTCCATTGCTGTACGTCTTCAAAACCGATCCAGACGAATCAAATGCCGTAAGTCAGCCTTTAGCTCAAGAAATCCAAACCGGTCTAGAGTTCCCTGGCACCTTGGGTTAGACACACTTCTTCAGAAAATAGAAAGCTGTTTGCTTTTCTGTTGGTTGTTTTCTTCCTCTTCTTCTTCTGTTGGTTGTTTTCTTCTTCTTCTTCTTCTTCTTCTTCTTCTTCTTCTTCTTCTTCTTCTTGTCCTTCTTCTTGTCCTTCTTCTTCTGCTTCTTCTTCTTCTTCTTCTTCTTCTTCTTCTTCTTCTTCTTCTTCTTCTTCTTGATGCGTGTTGAGTTTTTTTATTTAAAACTGGAAGACAAGTTTGAATTTTGAATGTAAAACCATCTTGGCAATCAAAGGTGGATCTCGGTTGTCGTCTTTCTTTCTATTTTTTTCCTTCTTTTTTTCCTCTTAAAAAAAAAAAACTGACCTATATTCTGCAAACATAGCTACCACTCACAATCAAGGGGATGGATGTTGCCCACCACCCTGATCAGCAGTGGGCAGGGAGCAGGGTGGGGCTACCAGTGGGGGAGGCTGGCCAATGCAAAGACCGGACATTTTGCCAGTAGCTGCGCCTCCCATCTACTTCCCCAACCCGCATCGAGTAACGGCAATGTCTAGGGTCAACTCACCCACACACCGCACACAACCCACATCCCCACACACACACACTCGCACGTGTGATGGCCAAAGACCCTAAACCAATGCCTACCGGTGGCAGGAAGAGGGCCCGAGGCAGTCAGTGGGGATTGAACCCAAGACCTGCAGAATGCCACTTGTGTGCCTAACTAACTGGCTAGGCCGCTGGCTCATTGTCGTAATTTTGACGTTTTTTTTTGTTTTTTTTCTTTTCTTTTTTTTAAACTACACTATGTTCTTCTCTCAAATTCTTTTTTGCCTTTCACTACCTTCCTACCGCTACTCCTACGACTATATGTATATAGAGGGGACCCCTGCAAGCATAGGGCCTCGCAAACGAGGTAAATCGTCATGTTGCCCCCCGCCCCAACAGTGGTAGTCAGAGATGGGGTGGGGTCGCCGGTGGGGTCCCACACAAAAAACGAGCATTTTGCCAGTAGCCGCGCCTCCCTTTCTCATTGCCCCCCACCCCTCGTCGAGTAGCAGCAGAGGCTATGGCCAACACTCTTCCTTCCCCCCCCTCCTCCCCCCAACACACACACACACAATCCACTCACGTGGCACCAAGTGCGCCGCAGGCGATCACGGGTCTGGAACCCACAACCGCCTGCTAAGTGCGCCGCAGGCGATCACAGGTCTCGAACCCACAAACGCAGAGGCAAAGACCCTGCTAATACCGATCAAAGGTATCCAAGCGGACTATCACAGCTGCTTGGCACTAAGTGCGCCGCAGGCGATCACGGGTCTCGAACCCACAACCGCCTGAATGCCACTTGCGTGCCTAACCAACTGAGCTAGGCTGCTGGATCATGCAGTGTCTTTTTGCGTTGTCTGCTGCTGTAATCGATTGATGAAGGCAGGTAAAGTATTTAAGCACTTGTCTTCTTCTTGACAGTGGGACTCATGGAGCCTTCTTTTCATCTTTTTTTTTCCCTTTTTTTCCCTTTTTTTCTTTCCTTTTTTTTCTTTTTTTAACATCCATTGCCAACCCTCTACCAGTGAGCGGACCCACAGAGTCATTTGGATTCATGGACTCATGGAGCCTCTTTTTTTCCTTTTTGTTTTTATACATCCGTCTTTCTTTTTTTTTTTTTTTTTCCTTTTTTTTTCTTTTTTCTTTTTTTTTTTTTCTTTCTTTTCTTTTCTTTTTTTTTTTTTTTTTTTTTTTTTTTTTTTTTTTTTTTTTTTTTTTTTTTTGTAATCCGTTGCCAACCCTCTACATGTGCCTCCACTGCAGGCACATGCAGAGGAGGACGCGTTCTTCTGCTTCGTGGAACTGCTCAGCAATTTCAGGGATAATTTCTGTCAGCAGCTTGATAACAGCAGTGTCGGTATTCGCTCAACAATATCGCGACTAAGTATGCTTTTGCGGCGGCATGACGAAGAGCTGTGGCGCCATCTTGACCACACCAACAAGGCAAGTTATTTATAATTTGATATGCTTTTTTCACCAGGTTTTTTTTTAGACTTTTTTTCAACTTCATCTCAGACTTTTTGGAGGCTGTCATCTCCCCCCTCAACTTTTTTTTTCCCTGACCAACATCCGTACAATGAGCAAGAAAGAAATGTGAAGATCTGCTAAAAAGACTGGATGGACGGGAGAAATGTTGCGGTGCAGTGTTGGCTGCCAGCCCACCACTGCTGATGAGTAGCATGTGCTTACAACACTCGGAATTGTTTGGGCGACGGAGAGAATCAAAGAAAAAGAAGAAGGAAAACACACACACACACACACACACACACACACACACACACACACACACACACACACACACACAATGGGAGTCGTTCGTTGCACAAGGGAAAGAATCAGATGTCGAGTGCAACCCCTTCGGGGGCAATTTGTAAAACACTAGCATTCACCTGCTGCGTGTCTGGGTGCTGCCAGTAAAAGCTTCCGGCCAGCACGTGAATTCCGGAGAATGAGCTACGGATCGGGGGGAGAGGCCTTGGGGCAGGCCCTCCCTTGTGTAAGCAGCTAGAGCGACAAGGGTGGGCTGAAACTTTGTCCTTTCTGCTCATCTTCTCTTCTCCTCTTGTTGCGTTTCTTGTATAAGCATGCGTGTCGGTGACGAGCAATCGGACTGACGCCCCCCAGAAGAGATGGGGCATGAGTGTTAAAAAATAAATTAAAAAAATAATAATAATAACTAGGTTACCCGGGGTGCCCGACCAGGCAGCCTGGGGACTTCAGCACGTGGGTCAATGTGAGCATGTTAGAAGTCTGGGGATTCTTTTTTTTTTTTTTTTGGGGGGGGGGGGCATCGTTTGGGTATCTCTGCGCCCACCCACCAAAAGAAGTGCAAATCCGTGATCTTGTTTTTGTACTTCAGTTTTTCTTGTTGGGGGGTCGGGAAGGGGGGTTGAAATGGGGTTTAAACTTCAAAGCGGTTTATAAACTTTGAAGGAGTCTAAAGGGGAGCGCGCCTGAGTTTGACTTTTTACTAATTTAGTTTAGGTTTTTTTTTTTGTTTTTTTTTTTTTTTTCAATTTCATAAGGAATTCTGAGGTCACCCTCAGCCAAACGTTGTTTGCATTGCCGGCAAACATTTTTCCCCTGAATTTATTTAATTCTATAAATTTCTATTTTATTTTGAGCCAGGGTTACCCGGCATCTGGCAGAGACCTTGCCTGGAACCTTGCCAGGCATTGCGGGCAAGCGGGGACGTATCCTAGGTAAAACACTGATTAGATGCAGATTAAATCATTTAAATGCAGGGTTTTTTTGCCCATTTTTTCAGCCTTGTTCAGATCGAGGGGGCGGTGCGTTGAATCTGGTCGGCAAGCAAAAGTACTGGTGTGAGTACGCCGTCAGAACTAGGAAGATGGTGCTTTGAATGTGGTCTGCAAGCTACGTTTCTTGCAGACCAGAGAGTATATCCGGCGTGCTCGTTGGTTCACAGCTCTGTATGTCTGGACTCAGGAGCCTTGAAAAAAGAAAAAGAAGAAAAGAAAAAGACAGGAAGAGACGTAGCTTCTTGCTTCATGAAAAGTGCAGCTCAGCCAGCAAGCTGTTTAAGACAGATTTCTAAGACAGAGACAGAGCAGACAGCCAGGTTTAGGATAACGATAGGAGCATTCAGCCACAGCCTTTTAAGGCGGATTTGTTTTTTTGTCTTTAACACCACCGTCTTCGCGGAAATAGAACGCCCGGTCATTATATCGGTGTCTGGTGCAACTTTCAGTCCAGATACCGCGATCATCACGGGGCGTTCTATTCGGGTGACGACGGTAGACTAACGTAAGGAAAACTGCCCGCAATACAGAGCTTTGTAAAAACTTACCAAAAATGTGTTCAAAACTTACCAAAAATGTGTTCAAGCTGGACAGGAAGGACTCCCTCGTCTAAAACTGGGGGGAGGAAAAGACAATGATAATGGGGACAAACCTGATGATGAGTCCGCAAGAGTCCGTTTGATCGGACTTTCTCCGCGAACTTTCGGATAAAGATCGTGACAGACTGTTTCATCGGAGTCTGGCCGACTGATCAGAAGGTTGAACCCTCGACAGTCTGCGGAATCCCAAAAATAAATTGTTGTTTTGAGTCATAACCTGCTGCGACCGCTGTTGCGAGGGCGTAGTCGGGTAGGCGACTTTGTTTTTTTGTTTTGTTTTGTTTTGTTTTGTTTTGTTTTGTTTTGTTTTGTTTACTCACACCCACCCTGAAATCCTAGCAGACTGCTGATCCAAACTCCTGACAAGAATGTCAGTAAGTCTGAGAAACTAGCCTGTCACAGCCACAAAACCCACTCTACGTACCCACTTAGCCGTGGATACCCCAATGGCATGAGTGCTACCGTTTTCACGCAAATAGAACGCCCGGTCATTATAGCCGTATCTGGGGCGGTTTTCTGTCTAGATGCAGCGATAATGACCGGGCGTTCTATTCGGGTGAAGACGGTAGTACGGTCCCGACCCTTACAGCCGCATCAATCCCTCTGAACGGAGAGCTTAGCAAGGCCATGTTGTGTTGTTGTGTTCGCTATGCACAACTCCACCAAAAAAAAAAAAAAAAATTGCATGACTGTGCCAAACTGTTTCATCGTACTTCCACCGACTCGTCAGGGGTGTGTGTGTGTCCAATCATATCCCATGGCGTAACACGCTATAGGCCCCATATCATTCATGATTCATGCTACACCCCGCCCTGCCGTAACCAGACTGGCGCTGTATACGCAGCCACAGTGCCACTCTACTAGTACTCATGAAGCTACCTCGTAGAAACGTGGTTATCCCATAGCCAGCTTTCAAAGTCCCAAGCATATATAGCCTAGAGGGCGTGGGGGAGGCGGGAATGCCGGGAGGGCAGACAACAGGCAAGCACCCCAAGCGGGCAAACCAAAGAAGCTAAGTCCCAATATGATGCAGAAACTAAGTCCCAATAGGATGCCAAGACCAGAAAGACAAGAAAAGGCAAGCACCCCAAGCGGGCAAACCAAAGAAAAAAAACAACAGGCAAGCACCCCAAGTGGGCAAACCAAAGAAGCTAAGTCCCAATAGGATGCAGAAACTAAGTCCCAATAGGATGCCAAGACCAGGAAGACAAGAAAAGGCAAGCACCCCAAGCGGGCAAACCAAAGAAACTAAGTCCCAATAGGATGCCAAGACCAGGAAGACAAGAAAGCACCAAGGCATGCCAAAACCAAGCAAGCACAAAGACATTAAGGCAATAGTAGCGAGGTGAACCATAGGCTGGAGGGCATGAGGGAGGGAGGCAAACCAAAGACCGAAGGAAACAAAAAAGGCTGATGATGATATAGATTGTTTCGTCGGAGTCGCACAGATTCATCAGGAGGCTGAACCCTCGACAATCTGCAGAATCCCCATATTGATGGTTCGGGTCATGAACCCTTTGACCCATGTTCAAGGCAGACTGTCCCCAAGCGGAACATAGCAGCGGGCGGCGACCCTGTGGAGCACCAGGGCCAGGGCCCAGGCAATGCAGTGGAGGCAACATGGCTGCACAACGCCAAAAACGATTGCAAGGAATGACACGGCACGCAGGACATGCAGTGCGGCAGCCACGCAGTGCAGCACAAGGCAACAACACTGCAAGGGACGGCAGGGCAAGTAGCTGAGCAGCACAGCAACCATGTGGCGAAGCACGAGGCAATCCCAACAAGGCAACCGAACTATGAGGGGCGCAAGCGAAGGACGCGGATGGCACGGCCAGCCGAAGGGCAACAAGGCAGCGGAGCAGCGAAGCGCAAGGCAACACCAACAAGAAGGCCAGACCGCATAGCGAACCCAACAGCTTGCGGAGGCAGGCAGCAAGACTGCGGTGGAGCGCAGACGAGGCAGTCCACACATGCAACACGGAGCGAAGCGGCACATCGCCTACTCACATCACGATTGAACACAGCAGACTCCGTCATCGCCCGCAGGAAACACAGACATCCCAAACTGAGCAGCCCCACCTAAGAGTGGTGTAGGCACTCCAAATGAGAAATATCTGACTGTTTGCACTGCTTGACGGTGCTCAGCTAGGGACTTAAGAGTACTTCAAAAAAATACAAAGAGGAACGAAAACATACATAAAGTGATTGTGTGTGTGTGTGTGTGCGCGCGCGCGCGCGAGTGTGTGTGTGTGTGTGTGTGTGTGTGTGTGTGTGTGTGTG